TTTGTGTCCTCTTTATTTGTTTCTAAAAGGGAGCATGCCAACCGCTAATTTGCGGAGAGTTTCAGCACCCACTTTCTCCGTGATTGGCCCTGAGGTGAAACAACTGGGAAACTGGAATGAGCCTGCTTATGCTTCTGCTCCTCTGCCCCACCGTCAAGGCACCCATGGAAGTTATGATGATGCTCCTAAAGAGAGATTGTTTGAAATCGGATTCAAAAGATTGTCAGACTTCTGCTAAAAGTGATAATCAAGACAATCATATGATTAACTATAAGCCTTCTGCATCTGTTCCAAAATATGACTTTGTCCGGATTTGGTCATCCCTTTGTTCAGTATGAGTCTTGTACAGATGCCTTCAAAAACGTGCAGCCTGGGAGCCGGCTGGCTTCAACTTCATCTCGGAGCGGGTCCACCTTGATGAGAACCCTAAAAGTACCCGAATCGAAACCCTCTAGAGGTGAATCTAGCTATGAGGTGGTTAAAACGGCTGAATCTAGCAAGATCTTTGTAGTAAAGCCTTCTAAAAACACACAAAGCCATATGGAGTTCAACTCTTTTGTTACCAGAGACCCACTTGCAAGAGGCCCAAATCATGGATCAACCTCTCTCAAGTCAGGTTTCCCATCAGTATACTTCATCTAACGGAAGTCGGAGTAGCAAGCTCCAGACAGCCAGTAGCAGTTATGGCCCATTCATGAAGGGAAACCCTGTTTATTCAAGTATGAATCCAAGAAAACCCTCTCGTAGTGGATTTACATACACTGAAGCCAAGCCTTCGGTTGTTAGCTCGGGGCCAATCTTTGTAGTTCAAGGTGGAGGAAATGCTCAAGGTCTTGGAGGCTATAGTGGACATCCAGATTCCGTAAAACCACTTGGAGGTCCCAGTCACGTTGACCCCTATCAGGCCAGTCAGATCTCTAGATTGACTGAAAGCAGTCAGGGCAAATCATGGAATGAACCTCTTCACTACTCCATGAGTGGAAGTCAATACAGTCCTAGCACTGAGCCAAGAAAACGCTCCAAAAATGACTGTAGGGACAATGATTCTAGCCCTGCGTTCCATTTGGAAGGGCTCATCCCTACGCCCTAATCCCTTCAAAGGGTTTACCCTCCAGAGTGAGAGCTTCGAGGGGTTGAAGGGTGTAGGGAACCTCACGTGCCCACACGGAGGCACCGTCATCATGCAAAGGATCATGGGAGCCCAAAGTGTCCATCAGTCGTACCCTTCGAAATCCTTCAATCCGAAGGGCCCTTTGAAGTGGCCAGTTTTGAGCACTTCGGTTTGGAACGACCCTTCAATATGGCGGCCATGATTGTTTTCACTCCGAAGTGCCCTTCGGAGGGCGAAATATCCCGTTCGGAACGCACCGTAGATCTTCAATTGCCAGCTGTGGTGGGATTCTTCTCAAGGCCCCAGAAAGTGCTCAGATAAACAAGATACCACCTCATATGAAGCTACCCACCCCAAATTCCAGCAGACCTACAATATCCACGGTCAACCTAATCAAATCTTTAAGCCTGTATACCCCTCTCAAAGTGGAGCTCAACGTGATGTAGCAAAGTCCTCAAATGCCAGTTCTGGTGCAATCCTGATGATGCAGGCTCCTGAAAATGTTCAAAATAGAGCACAATCCAACAAGCTAAAAATTCATCCTGGATTTCCAGAGCGTAAAGTACCATTTGCTCCTGGTCAGACTGCTCATCAATACCAGTCTGGGCATCAGACCTTCTCTGTGAAGGGAACCACGTACAAACCAAGTTCAGTGCCCTCAAGGCCTTCTACACTCTAAAAAAAATGCTGTGCTGGGTAAAATAGGGACAAACCCAGCAATTGGGTTGTTTTGACCCAGCGGTTGGGTTACTACACAGAAGGTTGGGTTAAACATTTTAACCCAACCGCTGGGTCAAAACAGCCCAATTGCTGGGTTTGTCCCTATTTACCCAACACTGGGTTGTATTTAACCCAGCATTTTTAGAGTGTACAAGTAAATTCGGGTTCAGTGCAACTAACCCCACTACTGCTGGATCGAAATGAGCTCAATACAGTCAATGTAAGGCTTAATAAACCGCCCACAAGCAGCTTTGGTAGTTTTCAGAACCAGTGGGCTTCTGGCGACATTAGCAGTGGTGCTTTCCAAAGTTCCTTACCTCCAAGTCACCTGGGCCAGATGCCAGGTCAAAATGTACAAAAGCCTGTTAGTTCTTCATTCCATTGTTCCAAAGGAGTCCAAAGCTAAGAAAGCTCCAGGCGTATTCCTGCCATTCCAAGTGAGTTTGGCCAAGGTGCCATCCAAAGGATTTCTCCTACACTTTCCAGCAGCTACAGACAAGGTAATCACTTCATAATCACTTTGCATATTTGAAATGTGGTTTTTAGTCAGAAAATAACTACTTTTTCCCTTTGCCATAGCTGAGCAAAACCAGCCTCAATTTAACAGCTTGGATTCCTTGGCCTCGAAGTGTGAAGTGACCCAGAATAGCCCTGCAGGTTTTGGTCAACAGGGCCCAGTCAGATTCCAGGAAGCGAACCTCTCCATCTAGAAGCAGTTCTCAACGTCTGCTATAAAGTGAGTACAATTGCTTCACTTACAGTCTACACCGAGAACGTCTATATTTGGTTTTTAGCAGGAAATGATCTGCCCTCTGCAAGCAATACTGTAAAGTCCAAAAGTGGGATGGTTATTTCAGCATTTACAGCATCCCAGAAATCTGTCTTTGCTTCAAGTAGTGGGCTGCCTCATTTCCTAAGTGTAATTCAGGTTTTTTATGGCTATGTTCAAAATGGGATTCCAGTTTACTTCATACCGTGAAGTACGTGATGTATGCTAACCACCATTTAAAAAGAAAAATGTATAATGCAATGAACATTTCAAGTGTCTTAGTTGTATGCTGCACGCTCGCATGACTTCATGTAGGAGCTGTCACTATTTCAATGTAGTCCGTGGCATTTGAAACTAAATTCTCAATACCAGTTTCAGTACCTCAGAAATATTGATACCAGTATTAAGGTTTAATCACTGTTGCATAAACGGCAGCAGTTTTGTGTGTGAACGTGAAGTGCAAGTTTATTTCTTCTGTTCAACGTTTACATTCAGACAGATGCAAACCAACTGCGTTTACACTGATGCCTCACCAAGACTGGGATTTTGATCACGAAATATGATTGTCCACATGCTCGAACATATTAACCAGCATGTTTAAAACCAGCCAGACAGACTTTGGGTACCAAGCTGACCTAGTTGCATGTGTAACTCAACAAAAATGTTATTTTTGCCTCTTTTAATCTGCATTGTGGGTTACAGTATTACACATGGTTTAATAAAATATACCGCACGTTTTGGCAGCTGTAGAAGGTCATTTGGGTATTTAATGTGTAAAGTACATCTGTAAAAAATGCCTACTGCAGAAATAAACCTTTTTGTTCATGACCTACAGCTTTGAAGCCTGCAAAAAGTCTTTTTTTATTTTATTTTTTTTATTGTTACTTACATCTAGCATTTAACCGTTAATAGTTTCTTTACACATTATCGCAGCCTTGATTCAGTGTGTTTTGGGGAGGCTGTCAGTCATCAGGCTCCGGTCTTTGCAAGGACCGCAGGATGCTCTGACTGATCAGTGGACACACAGGGAACTGTCCTGGAAATATATGACTCTACTCTTGATACACCACCCTTTCAAAGACTGTACATGTATGTCAATAAAAATGTTAAACCTACAAGTTTACTTTCCAAATTGTCACTTTTTATACTGTGATGTGACGTTTGACATAAGAACATGGACATGTTTGTAGCTGGATAATTTACTCAGACACACATGCAACTTAAAGAAATTGGAGAAATTCCGGGGGCGGGGGGGGGTTTAATTCACTGTTAGAAACTTCTATAGTATCCGAGGAACAATGACGCCCTCTGTTGGTTGAACATCTCGCCACTAAGTTCACTAGTGTCCATGCATCATATTAAATGCAGATAAATTATTCGGCAAAAAAAATTTTTTTTCATTTATTTATTTTTCATTTACGTATGGCCTCGGTTGCAAACGTCAGCTGATGTGACTGACAGTCAATGAAAATTGGTTGGACTTGCTGTTTGCGCATGTCCTGATGTACCTGTTGAATCAGGTAGGTGTACCTGTGTGCGTTCATACAAGCGGGAGCGACGAGCATGCAGGTCAAGTCATTTCCCTTCACTGTCTGCTCTTTGTAATACGATTTAAAGGCAGCTGATTGAGCACCGGCGGAATATTTGTGGGCTAATAGTCAAATCCAGGTCGATCGACCTTTTTGTGCTCTCCGGACTTCCGGCAGAAACTCGTCAGACTGCGACATTTCCCCCATATGGTGTGAGTAAAGTCCAACAATAACAAACTTTGTTCTTTATTAATGTAGCTCCTTATGATTGTCTGGCTTGTTTTAAATGTTTTTCGCAGTGGTAAACTAGTTCACTAGTTGGTCTGTTTCTAAAAACCGCATGTCTGTGATTTGAGCGGATTTTTTTGCGGCAAAACCGCGGTATGTTTGTTTGGGGACAGCGTGAACTTCGTAGCTTTTCCGAATTTGTAAATAATCAGAGGCGGCCTTAAAATAGATATGTCTATTGTCTAACCTAAAACGTGTTTGACATTTAAATGTTTATTGAATGTCATCAAACCTAGTTGAGGCTGCTTTTAAAATGGTTCCAGGAGTGTCGAAAAACATACTCAATATTTGGAAATGCAAAACGTTAATCAACTATTTCCTTGATGTTTTTTTTTTTTCTCAAATTGCGTAAGTGTAAATAAAAATATAACAGTATATGTCTCTGATATACAATCTATAATATAATCTATTGTTTATAGATTTAATACGATTTAAAGGCAGCTGATTGAGCACCGGCGGAATATTTGTGGGCTAATAGTCAAATCCAGGTCGATCGACCTTTTTGTGCTCTCCGGACTTCCGGCAGAAACTCGTCAGACTGCGACATTTCCCCCATATGGTGTGAGTAAAGTCCAACAATAACAAACTTTGTTCTTTATTAATGTAGCTCCTTATGATTGTCTGGCTTGTTTTAAATGTTTTTCGCAGTGGTAAACTAGTTCACTAGTTGGTCTGTTTCTAAAAACCGCATGTCTGTGATTTGAGCGGATTTTTTTGCGGCAAAACCGCGGTATGTTTGTTTGGGGACAGCGTGAACTTCGTAGCTTTTCCGAATTTGTAAATAATCAGAGGCGGCCTTAAAATAGATATGTCTATTGTCTAACCTAAAACGTGACAGACATTTAAATGTTTATTGAATGTCATCAAACCTAGTTGAGGCTGCTTTTAAAATGGTTCCAGGAGTGTCGAAAAACATACTCAATATTTGGAAATGCAAAACGTTAATCAGCTATTTCCTTGATGTTTTTTTTTTTTTCTCAAATTGCGTAAGTGTAAATAAAAATATAACAGTATGTGTCTCTGATATACAGTCTATAATATAATCTATTGTTTATAGATTGTTAGATTATGACAATGTTAATTTTAATATTTAAAATAACTGATTGTGACAGATTTATACTGGTTTAATAGTGATGTTTGGAGTTTCCCAGAATTCTATTGTCCTCTAAACATCAGCACTAAATATAGAAACATGTGTAGTTTATGGTAAAAACCGGCAGCAGTAGTGCCAGGACATGCTTTATAGTGCAGTGATTATGTTACAGGATGGCATTTTGACTGATTGTATTATATAGAGGTGAATTCAGGTCAATTGGGACATTTTTTGCATTGAGATGACTGGGGAAATGTCCCCAGTTAACCTGAATTAACCCTGTTTAACATGTAGAACAATTTCACTTTCTTTTCCCGCTGTAGTACATATTTCTCATGTATAACAATATTGCAATGGTTAATATACAAGTATATCTGATCGACTACAATTGATTTGTTACTGTAGTTAAGATGGTGTAATGGAAGACCACATAATGTTGGAAAATCTGCAGTTTGCAGTAAAATCACATGTATTGCAGCACTCTATTCTAATTCTATTCTTTAAATAACTAGGCCTAAATGTAAATGTATTGTGTTTTAAAATGTATAGTTTTTACTGTACATAAGTTATTTAATTGTCATAAGGCTTTAGTTGACAAACTTTTATTGAGGTGAAAGTTTTACTTTCACTATCATATTAGCTCTTAAACTGGTTGGTTTGCATCTCCTAGGGAAATTTGGGACAACTCGCTGCAGTTTTGTTACCGAGGCTGCTTGAAAGTGTAAGGTAAAACCGTCATCTCCTCCCAGTTTTCTCCTATTATGTCTCTTTCTCTTTAACAGACCCTGAGGCCTCAGTCCAGTGTCGGGTAACAGTAGAAACAGCCACCAGAGGACGGTCTGGGCCGAGTGTTGTCCCTATGGAGAGCACCCCGTCCTGGACCAGTGGTCCCATTGATGAAGGGCCATACCAAGAGCGCTCCGTCGACCCCGTGGAGATTGAGATCCAGCACTTCGGAGTGAGGCACAAAGTCAACAAGGATGCCAACGGCAATACGACTGGGCCGGAGACCGTAAGCTTTCTCCCCTCCAAAGAGGAGCCCGTCTCGGGGACGTGTATGTGCGGACCTTGCGCTTCTGTGAGTAGCTGCAGGAAGCTCTTTTGTAGCGTTTTGACTTGTGGACTGTACCGCGTGTGCCGGCGCTTGCCATGTCTCGTTTCGAGCGAAAGCTCAGCTCCCAAAGCGCCGGTGGAGAACCAGTCAAGACCTCCACGGGCTGAGAACGGCTTCTATTCCGACATCCGCATTGGTGGCGTCAAAGTGGACACGTCCGTCATTGAAGATGATCACGTGTCGTTTTCCACTTCCAAAATCGAGATGGACAGTCCGATTTACTTCAGTAGCTTACCAGAGGATGACTTAATCTGCGGCAGCGGGATGGAAGACGTGGACAAACTCATCACCCGGAAGCTCATGGAGGTCTTCTCTGAGTTTGAGATCAACGAGCTGGCCAAGTGCACCACGGACTCCATGTTCCTGCGGCGCTCCCGGGAGATCAGTCAGCTGATCTCGGATATCGTGGAGGAGCACAACATGGAGGAGCAGGAGGCCGAGTGCCGGCTGGTGCGAGAGATCATTCGCATCAGCACACGCAAGAGTAAGAAGAAGCCGCAGGTCAGGCCGCAGGAGCTGCAGCGGGACAGCGGCAATGACACCTGGAACAGCAAGAGGAACAGCCAGAAGAGCAGCTTCAATTCCATGAGCGATGGAAGTGAGTGGCAACTGTGTCTTTTCCTCACCATCTACTCTAGTAAAAAAAAAATAGTGCTGGGAAAATAAATCGATGCATCGAGAAATGACTCGGCATCGATTCTGAGATTTTTCGAATGCATCGCGATTCTTTCTCGAGTCGATTCTAAGCTTAGTTTTGAACAGCAGATGCTTTATTTCTGCTTGTTTCCAAATCCTTACACACACTTGAACCTAATCATTTATAGAGTTTGAAAAGGTTGAAGTGAATTACAAGGGTGTTCACAGTGGGCTGTGTTTACATTAATCTCGCGTCATAAAAGCATTCTGAGCTGAGGTGAAATTAGGTGAATGTGATTTTGCCGAGTAAGACATGTTCAACATTATTCTTCAAAAGTATAGACCTAACCCTATCCCTACCCCTAAACCTAACCCTATCCATAATTTATCCCTAAAATCAGAGGGGAATGATGGTTGAATAACAAGGATGTAGAAGCACGTAACTGGTTGTAAGGCTAAAATTGACATTTCCTGTAAACTGAGCCGAGGTGAAATTAACGTTACATGACTCAGCCGAACGCACAAGCGCTCTTCTTCATGAGCATTTGAGTGTGTGGTTAAAAACTAGATTAGAGCGCCATCTGCTGTTAAAATCTAAGCTCAGGATCGTTTCCGGAGAGAATCGCAATGCATTTGGAAGATCTCAGAATCGATTCTGCATTGATTTATCGTCGCAGCCCTAGTAAAAAAGTAATATACATTAGGGCTGCACAATTAATCAAATTTCTTATCGCGATTACTATTATGGATGCCACAATTACGTAATCGTTCAAAGCGGCAATTAATCATTCAAAGTCCACTTATGTTATTCTGCACGCATAAGTTTTCAGCTTGTTTATTTTCATATAAAAATACGGCATGCAGTTGCATCAAACAATGGTATATACATCATTCAATGTAAATTGTGATAATCGTAATAATCGCAATTGCAATTTCAAGGGAATAATCGACAATTATGATTTGTCATAATCGTGCAGCCCTAATATACATAAAATACATTTTTCATACTGAGTATAGCTCAAATCTATTAACACATCTGCTGACATAACGCTCGAGACTTACTGAAAAAAAATTGTAATTAATTCTTTCCCCGCCAAACACGGAATTTTCCGGGTTTCTGCTTTCTCGCTGTTATACGCTCGGGGGCGCTTCTACGCATCTCCTGAATGAGCCTAGAATCACTCGATCAAAAGCACAGGCGAGGAAGCCGCAGAAACGAGGGATTTCATTTGTAAGCATATGCATATGAAAAATAATGCGATCATCAACACTAACCGCATATAAATGAAAACTGCTTAATGCTACAGAGTGAAATGCCGATCCAGGAAGTGGCAAAGGACTGTGCAAGCTTTGGGGTGCTGATTGAAGCGATCTGCTGCATCTGTGCTTTGATCTTCGTACTAAATATGGTCCAGATGTAGTATTTGATTAAAAATGCGATTTTCTTAGCTTTTTGCTCAATGTTGCCTTTTTTTTTTTTTTAAACCTA